TCATCACATTTCGTAAGTGTTTCGATTAACAATTTCTTATCACATGAAATGAGACACAAAACAGAGTTGCCTGAATTTTCATGTTGTTAGTTTGGACATGAATGAATCGTATATAAAATATAAATTTACACATTGTCGTCAATATAGCATTCTCATAAGAATCAAATTGTCCAACTAAAAAGAATTACTGAGATTAGCAAATATCTTTATTTTACACATAAATCATATATATGATCTCTTGAGTACGAAGGAAAGCACGAGAGGAATCTGCCATGTAATAAATTCGTGGTGGGTTTCTAAAATGATAAATCTACAAATTTCTCTGTTATAAATGGCTTCTTAAATTTCTCTATTATAAAATGTTCAGAAGACGACAAACATATTTTGTTATTTTTGGAAAGTGGTGCGAGAAGCTTCATGAAACTCAGGGTAAGTTGCTACTTTTCCTTTTTATTATTTCTATTTCTGACATTTCCTCCATTCCCTAGCAAATTAAAGATCACTTTATGAACTGTAAATTACTAGTAAATTTTAGAATATTCCCTTTTTAGTTTTCAGTATCGTAATATATGAATCATTTGATTATAATATTATGATAATACAAAGATGTATTATACGCATTAAATGGTGCAAATCATGATGAAACCAATCGTGTACCTCCTGCATGATACAAATACTTCGGCACCGAGTGAGATAGTTTAAAAATTGGCCCTATGATATTATTCAAATAGTTTCTTGTCTTCTTGGGGGTCTTAGTTTTTCTGTTCCATTATTTTAAGGGCTGAAAAGGGTTAAGAAACTATCTAACTAGTCTACTAGTATAAATTACAAAAAATAACTTAGAGTTTATCAGTGAAGCCCGTTGCACTTTTGTTTGTCGGTACAAATGACAGTTGTTTTCTAATATGAGGCGACTTTTCTTTATATCATCTTCAGAATATTATTAACTCACTAATATTGCAGATAAGCATTGTATATCGATTGTTTGTATATAGATGAACTTGATTTATACAGCCACATTAATTTTAGCTAGGGATGTTTGCCAAGTACGTGAACTCATTCAGATGATTTCTGTCAAACTTTCACTTCTTAAGAAACCGAAAACATGTTTTCAGAATGTTAGAATGCAACCCATTTGTTTAATTTTAACCACATTCTTATCAACGAATGTCATTATTCAATCTTTTGAACTTTTACCAGTCGTATCGAGAAATCAGCTAGCCATCATCGTAACCTCTAGATTCCGGAAGAAAATATACATAACATTTAGGTTTCGTTTATTCTGATGCCGATATCATATAATATTTGAATATAAAAAAACAAACCTGATGATAATATTCGTTTGCATATAATTTTGTACTTATTTCTCCTAAGTAGGGGACCAAAGCTATAGGTTGTATTTTTTCAATGAGCCAGAGAGAGAGAGAGGACCACATATTTCCTTTACATCTTTTTTTTTTTGTTGTACTGAAAATATCTGCACTGTTCAGATGTAAAATCCTAAATTTATGCAGCCGATATCTTAGACTTAGACCGACAATATTAATTTCTCAATGATATAGGGAAAAATCGCAGGTGACTATTGACTAATCAATTTACGTAGAGAAAACACACCAATATAGAAAAAGATAAATCAATAAACAAAAATACAAACCCGGTAATATAACAATCAGTTCACGTAAGTTTTGACTTTTGAGTGATTACATAGAGAACTTTCTCTATTTTTGTTGTTATCAATCTCGGTTATGTTATTTGACTGTTCCATATTATGACTGCATTTACCACATTTATTTATCAACCACATTCATATTGTGGTTGGTTCGTGTTGAACTATTGACTATGCCTTTTTTTTGACCAAAGCATTATCTTACCAACAATGAGATATATACAATACCTTATTCAAAAAAACTCTATCCAACTTGGAGAATAAGTTTAAGAGTGTGGCTTGGAGAAGACAAAGCTATTTGAAAAGTTTACGGATAAATAAAAAAACAAATCAACCAGAAAAGGTTATTTGATCAGAAAATAAAAAAATAAATAAAACAAAAGGTACGGCTAAGTTTGGCGGTTTGAAGAGTTGAAAACAAGGAAGAGATGGAGATGGTGGGACAATGGAAACAAAACATTTGCACGCCTCTCTCTCTCTCTCTCTCTCTCTCTCTCTCTCTCTCTCTCTTCTGAGTTCTTCATTGCATCAAAGATTTAGGTCCCACTTCTATTATATGCAAAGGCCCCATTTCGAATTCAACCTCTTTTGCCTTTTTCCTTACGTTAATAAAAATTTACATTTTACTTTAGAATGTTATTAGATCACTAACTTGAAACCACAGAAGTGACAATGAATCTTACTGCCATCAAAACTACTAAGCAAGATGATGATAAATACAATTTGAGTGTAACCATGATTAGAGCAATGGAACATACAAACAACGTTTCATTTTTTTTTTTTTTTGGTAATTGTTTGAACTGGTCATGAGTTATGACAGTATCACAAATTCACAATGCGGTAGATAGCTAGGAAAAAAACACACATGGAAAAATAATTATTTTTGGGTTGTTCAGTCTCGCTTATTATTTTGAGATCGATAAAATATTTTACAGAATAATGTTTGGACTGAGAAGATAATACTAGTTTGGTAAAAAAAAAAAGTTTTTTAATAATAAATAATCGAGCCACCTATACCTATATAATGATGTAATTAAGACTACAGATAGATAGATAGTCTAACTCCAGCTCCAAATAAATTTGACTTGTTGACTCGTACCTCCCCGTCAACGAGAGCGAACATGTTTTTAAGAACATCATTGGCGGACAACTTCTGATAAAAGATAATTAGAATCCATTTAGAGTATTATACTCTACAATTTTTTTGACATATGACAAATACTTTGAAAATATTAGTATTTTTTGTGGTTTTCACGTGAGATGGTTAAGAAAAAAAAAAAAAAAACAAGAGTGGGCTTTTAAATTGGGCCCACACTGTGGCAGTAGCAGGCTGGGTGAGTATAGGTCCCACAACGCCCATGATCCCAAAATTTCCAAAGAAAATGGAGACAGCTTCTGTGTTTATCCGAAAGCCACCCTCACGCTTTGGATTATCTTCATTTATGAAATTTTGTTTCTATTTTATTTTTATTGAAAAGATAATATTCTGAACCATTTCTGGTATTTGCACTGGAAAAAAGGTAAAATGAAATGGAAATTTACTTGTTCGTATGACCAAAAAAAATTGAAAAAAAAGCAATAAGAAGATAGACACATTTGTCTGTATTTTATCTATTCAAATACTCATAAGTCATTACAACTGTATTACGACAGTTTCGTTAGAATTAGTTTGACGGTTGATTGTTTTGATATGAGTTAGGTGTTCAGAATTACAATGGGTTAATTAATTTTTTTCTTTCTTTTCTGGTTTTCCCCTTCTTTAATTAGCGAGTTAACTGAATCAAATGAAGACACTATCAATTTAATCTCAATTCCAAAGATGGCTTCCCGTTTATTTACCAATCATGCATAATAATATAAATATGTTATTTTTTGAAAAAGAGAAAATTCTGCAAAGTTTTTTAAAGATTTTTTTTCCTTTCATAATTAACCAGAAAAAAATGTCGATTTTAGTGGTCTATGCACCTTATAGTTATTTCATTGATTTACACTCACTTTTCCTCTTCCATTATACATTGTAGTATATGTTTATAGTTATGAATGATATAAGGCGCAAACCGATGACGGCAGACCATAGAAGTCATGCATATCTATAAAGTATTGGTGCAATTTTGTTGTCAACTAGTATATTATAACTGAACAACCTAAATGCTCTTGTATCTCAGACTAGTTAAGTAGTAAGCCATGGACATCTTGTTGAATCAAACGATCTAAAATTGTTAAAAGTTAAGTGTTGACAAAAAAAAAAAAAAAAAATTGTTATAAGTTAAGTTCGAACACTGCCGTACGTCTAAACTAAACTATAGGCAAACAATTCCTTACATTTTAAATGGGCTTTGAATTTCTGAGCTGGGCCTGACGGACTAGTATATTTCTTACATTTTAAGCAACCAATTCCTTACATTTTAGATGGGCTTTCAATATCTGAGATGGGCCTGACAGACTAGTATATTTCGTGCGTACCTTCGTTGAGTTGTGAATTTTAGCAAGAATAATTTATAATTCCATATGTATTTAATTTTCATTTGTTGGTACCTAGGTATTTTTTAATATGTGTCCCACCCAGCTATTATTAATAGGTTGAATTGTCTTTTCGACAATATTTATTTTTAATTTCAACATGACATTTACAAGTGTTTTAGCATTCAGTTTTTTTCGGTTTTGTTTTAGTCCGGGCTTTTCAGTTTTTTTTTTGTATTTAGTTTTCTATCACTTACACTATAAATATATTTGATTTTATTTGGATATCAGGCTTCATAAAAAAAATATATATAAAACGCCTAATAACACAAATGGCACAACAAACAGTCTCCAATATCCAAATTAAATACTTGTTTGACCTATGGACTTGTGTGTATTGTTAGGAAAATGTTATCCTAAACGAGCCGTCAAACTTCGTGAAATATGGATATCAATTTCTATGACCAAACCAAACCAAATATGTCTTTTTATGTTTTCGGTTTATCTTGTAGTTTTGGTTTAATTCGGTTTCTTGGTTTGTTTAATTTATAAAAAAAATAACGTCACAGAGGAAGCAAATATAAAACAATACTCCGAACCATTATTAAAAGTTAAGATCGGATCAATTTTATTCGAATTTCAGGCATAAACTAACAAAATACGGAATAGATTTAAGAAATATATATGACTAGGTATCGTTTAAATATAAAAATACATAAGTGTGTGTATTCCCATTCGACAAAACTAGTTTTATTGGTTTGTTTGGAGGACACGTGAAGTGATTCATACATAAAACCAGCTGATTTTGATTTTCGATCCAATTATCTCGAATCGGTTTAATTCGGTTTACAATGATCCATTCCACCCTGTAACTTCCCATTGACATTTTTCTTATACTTAAAAGTCTAACCATCCAGATCGAACCACGTGCGCATGTTTCAGTGTTCCTCATCACAGGAGATCATCACTTCCTTTCCTCTTTCCCTTTTACACTTAACATACACTCTGTACTAGTGATCAAAACCTCTAAACACAGCAACCGCCAATTCCTTCGAAATTCCCCGATTCTTTTCACTTTTTCGGGCCCGACTTTATCTTTTTTCCTGTTCCTTCTTCTCGAGACGAAGATAAGCCATAGATATGATTTGAAGTTCTGTAAGTGCTTTTTGCTCCTTTGTTCTCGAAACTTCGATTTTGTCTCGTGCTTTTTACAGATCGGTGATTTTTCTTTTCCATCTGCTTTTTTTTTGTGTGGAAATTTTGATTTCATAGCTCCAGATTTCTAGGTAAGAGATCTACGATTGATTGTTGAAATGCCGAGGCAGAATCAAAGCGTGGAGAATCTGCTTCTACTCGGGAAAATCAGGAAGCGTGGGTGTTCTTCGCCGACATCGTCGACTTCTTCTGTTCTCCGGGAAGGTTATCGGTTTAAGAGAGCGATTTTGGTTGGCAAAAGAGGAGGATCCACTACTCCTGTACCTACATGGAGGCTGATGGGCCGATCTCCGTCTCCAGCTTCGTCATTGCGAGCTTCCGCCGCCTTACACGCTGCTTCTCCGGGATACGCGCCGTCGCAGTGCGGGAGCAAGAGTGGGAAGGTAGCTGCTGCTCCGGTTTCGGCGAGGAAGCTTGCGGCAACGCTGTGGGAGATGAACGAGATGCCTTCGCCGAGAGTGGTGGAGGAGAACATGATGAAGGCGGCTCCAACAAATAGAAAGAGTAGAAAGGAGAGAATCGCGCCGCTTCCTCCGCCGAGGTCGGCTCGTTCTGGTTCTCTACCGCCTCATCTCTCCGATCCGTCGCATAGCCCAGTCTCTGAGGTAAAGTTGCAATTTTTTTTTTGGGGATAAAATTTTGTTTTGATTGCAAAAGGAATGTGCTGTGATTTGAAGTTCTTGCTGGCGCCATGTGCTTTAATTCTGACCGATCAAAGGAGAGAGAAACTGACTTTGCCTTGCTAATTAGTTTCTCACTCTTCTGCATTTCGTATCAAAAACAATAGTTTATATAGATACGGGAATTTAGGAGATTTCAACTCTCTTTTAACTGATAAAAATGATAATCTTTGTGTGATTCTGAGGTCTGAATTTGGTCAAAGTTGTGAATTGTTGGCAACCTCTTATGAGTATTTTATTCATCAAGGTGTTCCATTAGCTTCTGATTGATGTTAAGGAGTGGGATTAGAGAAGAATAGAAAACTGTTGATCTTTGGAATCTTTTGTCATGTGCTCGAAAAAAAGAACACATTTAAGTTCATATGAAAGGGCATGTTTCCTTTATAAGTTGGTGCCGATTAGTTTTGCATAATTGGGCAGTTTCCACTAGTTTTTTCATCCATCATATGGAGGTAGTTGGTTGGTTATTAGAGGTTGATTTATTGGGAATAATGTAGACCTAGATTCTCTTATAATTGAGACCTAAGCAAGATATATATATAATGCCAAATATAGCAATGGACAATGCGAATCCGGCTTTCCTGCTTCCTTTACTTCTTGTGTTAGGTTATAAGGAAGCTGAGAAACTTGTTGATTTTGTAGAGGATGGAAAGATCAGGGACTGGAAGTCGCCAGAGAAGAGCATCCTCCACTGTGCAGAAGCTTAGGCTTGGAGACTGCAACCTGGGTGCTAGAGATCCTATTAGCAATGGCAGCTTCATGGATGTAAGTTGCTTTCTTTATTTTGAGGATGTGTTTTCACATTTGTGGAGAAACCTTTTATTTGCAGCTTTCATACTTTTTATCAGACCAAATGCGTTCATATCAAATGCTCCATAGGCCGTTGGTTGTGAGCTACAATTATAGTTTCTCCGTCACTTTGGAAGCATACAATCTATGTTTTGTTATGCACATATACATTGCATTACATGTTAGGCTATACAATCTGTGATGATTAGTTTGTTTGCCGCCATCATTTGCGTGCAAGAAAACGATGTAAAACAAGATTTCATACTGTCGACTGTTCTGCACATATACATTGCATTACATGTAAGGCTATACAATCTGTGAGAAGATTAGTTTGTCTAGCGCCATCATTCGTGTGCAAGAAAACAAGATTTGACATGGTTTTATCAATGCAGATTGAGACTCGATCACGGGCAGAGACACCGACTGGGTCAACTGTGGGAGTCAAGACACGGTTGAAGGATTGTAGTAACGCTCTCACAACATCGAAAGAGCTTCTCAAAATCATTAATAGAATGTGGGGTCAAGAAGACCGCCCATCTTCCAGCATGTCCCTCGTCTCTGCTCTACATTCTGAGCTCGAAAGAGCTCGCTTACAGGTCAATCAGTTGATCCACGAACAAAAACCTGAAAACAATGACATTAGCTACTTGATGAAGCGTTTCGCTGAGGAGAAAGCGGCGTGGAAAAGCACTGAGCAAGAAGTTGTGGAGGCTGCAATCGAGTCTGTTGCTGGTGAGCTCGAGGTGGAGAGGAAGCTGAGGAGACGGTTTGAGAGCTTGAACAAGAAATTGGGCAAAGAATTGGCTGAAACAAAATCAGCTCTGATGAAAGCCGTGAAAGAAATAGAGAACGAGAAGCGAGCGAGAGTGATGGTTGAGAAAGTCTGTGATGAACTAGCAAGAGACATAAGCGAAGACAAAGCCGAAGTTGAAGAGCTGAAGAGAGAATCATTCAAAGTCAAAGAAGAAGTCGAAAAGGAAAGAGAGATGTTGCAGTTGGCTGATGCATTGCGCGAGGAGAGAGTGCAGATGAAGCTCTCGGAGGCTAAGCACCAGCTCGAGGAGAAAAACGCAGCTGTTGATAAGCTAAGGAACCAGCTGCAAACTTACCTCAAAGCAAAAAGATGCAAAGAGAAGACCCGTGAACCGCCTCAGGCTCAGTTACATAACGAAGACACTGGAGAGTACATGAACCACCATCACATTGGCTTTGGTTCATATAACATCGAGGACGGAGAAGTTGAGGACGGTAACGAAGAAGATTCAGATTCGAGGGAAAGCGATCTCCATTCCATAGAACTGAACATAGAAAACAAGAGCTATAAATGGCCATACGGTGAAGAGAACAGAGGGAGAAAATCGACGCCAAGGAAGAGCCTTTCTTTACAGAGAAGCATATCGGATTGTGTTGATTGGGTTGTACAGAGCGAGAAGCTTCAAAAAAGTGGAGATGGAGGAGGTTTGGATTGGGGAAGATCCATTGAGGTTGAGCCTAAAGGGTATTTAGATGAAACTCAAGCTTATAAACTAAACAAGGCTTCTTCAAAAGATCATCTCCTCTCGGCTCCAAGACTAAGTAACTTCCGCGGCGGATCCGTTTCAAAGTCTCGGTTATCATCGGATGCTGCCAAAGGCGAAAACCAGATTGCTAGAAAATCAAGATGGTAATGTGCTAAAAAGGCAGAGCATATTTATTCACATTTTGGGAGCAGAGATAATAGAATCTTATAAAGACTTCTACATCTACTAATGATCTACATTGTCTCTGTTCGCTCGTTTTGTCAAGAGTGATTCTTCATATGTAATGTAAGTGATAAACAAAAGAAAAAGGATCCAAACATGTAAGAGCTTGAATTTTACATAAATGCACGAATTTTCTTTCGATTTGCTTAAACCTTTAAGAAGCCTTCACTTCAAAAATGTAAAATTACAGCGAGAAAGCGACTAAATGGACTTTTGAGCTCTAGTCGTCGAGCCATTTCCTGATCCGATCCTTAACGAATTGATTCCGAGCCTTGACGCGATCTTGCTGCGGTCCGATATTGGCGAGTGAGAGATACGCTCCGGCGACGAAGAGAGAAACGCCCGCCGCGAAAAACCCCACAGACACCACCAACTGCCGCCGTGTCGGCGGGTACGACATAAAAAACACCATCCTTCCTTTTTACCGCCGTCTCTTGCAAAATCTGCTGTATAAATAATCACTATTAATGGGCCGACCTTTTTAGTTTGGGCTTTATATTTAATGTCCAGTTAATGGGCTGAGCTTTTATTTGTACTTTTGTTTCCTCTTGGATCGAGTGATCTCTCTCTAATTGCATCCAAAAGTTGTTTATCAATTTGTAACATAACTTTTTAAAATGGATCTAATATTAGAGATAAATTATCTGGTTCTATTACAATCAACAGAAGGCAAAACTGTGATTGTTTTGACAACCAATAGAAAAACCAAACTTAAAAAAGTTCAACATAATCCGGTTAACTTCTCTACTCGATTTTCGAAACATTAGTTTTCTTTAAGACAATTATTACTTCAGCTTTTGTATTGTGACGTAGAGAATAATTAAATAACTAATTAAACAAAAAAGAGTCTAAAGTCATCTAATCGTTTGTTACTCTGCCCATGTCGTTTACATGAACACTATTAATTCAAAAGATGCACGTATCTATAGAGGGACTTTAGTCAACGAAACTGAATCATTAATATGCATTAAATTTAATTGGCAGTATCTATTATTAATCCACATGTCTATCTACCATTTAGTTAATCCACAATGAAATAATATAATGTAATGACTATCAACTTTGACGTCGACTATAAAAATTAAAAGCAAAAGTGTAACGTGACATCTTGAGTTGAGCTTATATTCTAAACGTATTTGTAGTTTATATACATACCAATACAATTTCATGCATTCGGACAGCTACTGAAACATAAGATACCAAATCCGTATATTGGCTATTCATTCATACTTATCGGTTAACATTAATTGTAAATCCAGCCAAGCATGTCATAGTTTCAATTTAATGAAATTAATTGTAAGTTTGCCAGCTTTTATTATACTAGTAGTTCGGAAGATATTACTTTCGTGTTATCTATACTATCTTAGCGTATACTATTGTTTTAAATCGGGAAAATATAAAATTTGGTTTTACAAAATCCGTCTTTCAAAAACTTCATTAAATAACTTCACATGGGAAATTAACTCAGACAGCAATATTAATAGCTTGCTTTTGGTGTGAAGCTACGTGATATTCTAGTCATAACCATTAACTTTGACGTAGCCATTTTTATTTTGGTACAGTATAAGTTTCTTTTACAGATTTTGTAATCCTGTGATTAACATTAATATACATTTAATTCCCTTCCTGCTTTGATTAAGACACCTTTACAAAGGGCAAAGGCTACAAGCAAAGGGGAAACAATGACCCCTGTGAATATAGATCAAATTAATTGTTTGACCTATAAATAGTGCTAAGATAACAGTATCAAGAGAGAGTTTTTTTGGAAAATGGCTTACTTAAACCAAATGATTTAATGAATCCATTTAGAAAATGGCTCCTAAAACAATAAGAAACCCCAAGTCCATGCATGTGTTTATCAGCTTCTGCCAAGGGTCTGCTCTGTTATTATGTATAGAATATGAATGGTTTGCGTATAAATCTAGCACGTATATTGCTTGATTAGTTCCGTGTCAATGAAGATGTTTAGAGCAATTAATAGCTTTAAAGTTATTAGTTTTTTTTCAGATTTAAAACCCATTGCCAAGCATATCAATCTCGGATTTGAGTTTTTCACTTTCTTACATTATCGGCTTTCCGTTTAAGTTTAATTCTTAAATATTTGTGATGTTCATAGCAAAATGTACAGCGCAACAAAATATATCTTAGAATTACCTTACCAGCATCATTGTCACCGTAGTAAATTATAACAAAAAATAGTTATATCAAACAATAAAATAAGAGACCACCGAAAAACATTTAATTTCCACTTTAACTGCCATTTAGAAAAGAAAAAGAAAATACTCTTCAGCCGGTTAAGCAAAAATAATTAATTGTTAGCAGTTAAAGACTAGTCCCGTCTATCTATCGTAATTAAATTAAGCTTTTAATGGAAATTCACTCTCTCTTTCTCTCTCTCTAAACAACTTTATGGATGTTTTGTTTTATAAAATGGCCTAACCAGAACCAACAAGACATAACCAAAACCTATTTCTCAATCTCCAAAGAGAGAGAGAGAGAGGGAGATCGATGAGCCGGAGGAACGGGAACAGGCCGAAGCTCGAGCTGAAGCTGAATCTTTCTCCACCTCCTTCTCAAGCCAGGCAGATGAGTCTTGTTCGATCACCGAGCCGATCCAACACAACATCACCGAGCTCATGCGTTTCCTCTGAAACGAACCAAGAGGAGATGGAGATAACAACCTCAATGGTCCTTGTGGGTTGCCCTCGTTGCCTTATGTACGTTATGCTCTCTCAAGATGACCCAAAATGTCCAAAATGTAAAAGCACCGTCCTTCTCGATTTCCTCCATCAAAACGCCTCCGCCGCTACAACCGCTCCCGCCGCCACCACTAAACGCAATAAGTCCCGGTGGAACTGATCCAACCGTGTCTTTTCTTTGCTTCTTCTCGTAGTTGTTTTAGAGTAGTGCTAATCACGCTCCATTTTTAGACGATGCTTTGAAGTGGAGCGCGAATAGCACTAACTTTGTTTGTAATGAAAATATGAAATTTGTTTAGAGCTAATGATGAAACATGTGTTTGTTGTTGGTTACTCCGAGACTCTTATAATTCAGCTTCTCCGGTGAATTTCCGGTAACCTTTCAACCGAAATGGACTTTCTCGAACATGTCTACAAGTTCATCGGAAAATTTTACAAGGATATGAGAATTTTGTTTCTGCAAGATCAATAAAAAATCACATTTTGTATCTCTCTTCTCAACCTTTGTTCCTCGGAGACGTGAAGGGTTTCATCTGTTTATTGATTACTCTGTTTCTAAAAAAATCCACAGCGGTGTTTTTTGAGTTAATAAACACCAAAGGCGACGATATATTTTTATTAAAAACTAAAATGCGATCCAAATCAAAACTATAGCGGAAAAATTGAAATGCATGGGATCATTTCAATCGGTTCCCTTTGTTAAAAACCCTAATATGCATTTTCATAAGAAACTCTCAGTCTATAATTTGTAGCTATAATGATAAAAATAAAAATTTTAAGTCAAAGAGGACGAAAAAACTTGGGGGTTGTGTCAGTCTGTCAGACCTGCATATGGCAAAAGTAAAAGAATGAAAATCTAAATGGTAATTTTAGAAAATCTATCTTATGCTTTTTATTTTTATTTTTTTCATAATGCCAAGGGGTGAAGTTGGTTAAAACTTAAAATTGAAGAGGGGGTAGTTCAGATAGCTTCAATAGATTTTAAAGTGATGAAATCATTTAAATCAAATATAAATGCAACAGTAATTGAGGCAGTTGAGAATAATGAGCGTTACGTAAGAAATATGAATACGAATTTAATTCCACCTTCAATTAAATATAGGAGTAGTTTTTATTTCTCCTTTTTTTTATTCTCTCTTCTTTTTCCTTTATTTTCCCCCTTCTCACTAAAACACCTCAAATTATATTCTTTATCACTCACTAAATGCCACCATTCTGTTGCAGCCTTCATACTTATGTATCCAAGCCTATGACCAACTTGCACCGCCTCCTAGGGATCTTTAAATAGTCAAGATACCAAATTTGAATACTTTTCACAATTATAAAATTTTAGTATTCAAATTTTAAAATTTAAAATATCTTTTGAAAATAAAAAACCATTGAAAGAAATAATAGAAACTCAAGTGCCAAAATTTATATTATATTGTGAAGACAAAACGAACTTGGCATCGATAACGATCTTTAAAAAGACAAGATACTAAATTCGAATACTTTTCACAATCATAAAATTTTAGCACTCATATTTCAAAATTTAACATATATTTTGAAAATAAAAAATCAGTGAAATAAATAATAGAAACTTAAACGCCAAAATTTATATTATATTGTGAAGACAAAACGAATTTGGTATCGATAACGATCTTTAAAAAGACAAGATACCAAGTCCGATTATTTTTTTCACAATTATATAATTTTAGCTTTTAAGTTTTAAAATCTAGTGAAAACAAAAAAAAATCGGTTGAAAAATATATTTGATTTAAGTTTTAAAAACCAGTGAAAAAAATAATAGAAACTCAAATGCCAAAATTTATATTATATTGTGAAGACAAAACGAACTTAGCATCGATAACAATCTTTAAAAAGACAAGATACCAAATTCGAATACTTTTCACAATTATTAAATTTTAGCACTCAAATTTCAAAATCTAAAATATCTTTTGAAAATAAAAAATCAGTGAAAGAAATAAAAGAAACTCAAGTGCTAAAAGTTATATTATATTGTAAAGACAAAACGAACTTGACATCGATAACGATCTTTAAAAATACAAGATACCAAGTCCAATTATTTTTTACAATTATATAATTTTAACATTTAAGTTTTAAAATCTAGTGAAAACAAAAAAAACAGTTGAAAAATATATAGTATATCTGAAAATATATTTGATTTAAGTTTTAAAATCTAGTGAAAACAAAAAAAAATCTGTTGAAAAATATGTTAGTCCTAGAACCTGGCCTGGTTCAAATATAAAGAGAGGTCTGGTTCAAATATAAAGAGAGAAAATCTTTCACCATGTCTTGATGCGCGACTTAAGCTTCTTCTTGGCTCGGGCTTTGCCTTCGCTTAAGCTGCGGATAAAAAACACAAGAATCTTTTATATACTAATCATATAGAATAACCCTTAGCTAATTGAATATCGACCAACAAAGAGATTGATTCTAGTGTGAGATGTTTGACTAATCTGATAAACAAAGCTTCATCATTACGTGTGTTTCTGTGTTTTCTTTTTCTTACCTCATTCACTTCCTTGCCACTTTGCATATTGAACATCACCGTGCTTCGATCTACGGCCATGAATCTTACTCCGACCCATCCTGTTCTCAGAACTTTTGTCCATTTCATAGCAATTTCCACCACCATATCCTGATTGAAATCAAACAAACAAATCACGATTTTCAATCGCCTGAAGCAAATGGACTTTCCTGATTTTATCGGAGGATGTGAAAGAGGTGAGAGAGAGAGAGAGAGGTTTAGAAGTTTGTCTACCTTAGTACGGCGGACGCCTAACCGGAGCTTGACGAATCCGACGACAGGTCCGAAAGTCCGTTTAGCCATTTCCGCTTGGATCTGTTCGAATCCCATGTTGGAGAAATCCGGAGGCGGATCGAATTCCGGCGTCGAGGCTTTCTTCCCCCGATCCTTCCATGATTCGTCTTCTTCATTGTCTTCGACGTCGTCTAGATCGTCGGGGATCGTCGGAGAAATCTGGAGGCGGATCGAATTCTTAAATTGAAGAGTTCGAATGTTTTCTGCTAAAGCTCCATAATTTGACCTCTATCGCCTCTAGAGCAAGTCAATCTGTGGAGAAGAGAAAGGGGCAGACACACAAATTGAAATTATAATCCTCAAACACAGGTAAAACGAAAGTTCAGAGCTTTAAGCAAATAGAATCATCTGTAACTTATCAAGAAAGCTAATTGTAATGAAAGTTCAGAGCTTTAGCAAAAAAACATTGAATTAAGAAGAAAAGAAAAGCAAATAGAAACATCTCTAACTTATCAAGAAGCTAATTGTAACGAAAGTTCAGAGCTTTAGCAAAAAAACATTGAATGAAAGAGAAAAGAAAAGCAAATAGAATCATCTCTAACGTATCAAGAAGCTAATTGTAACGAAGGTTCAAAGCTTTAGCAGAAAACATTGAATTAAGAAGAAAAGAAAAGCAAATAAAATCATCTCTAACCTTATCAAGAAGCTAACTGTTTCACTCACATTCGCAGAGCTTTCACGTATACTAAAATGAGATGAAATTGTCTGTAGTTTGATTTTTGTATCTATTTAAAAGATCTCAAATTCACAACGGTCAAAAAGAAAAAAAAGTTACCGTTAATTAATAACATTCATATTTTCCACTAATCTTCACCTTGACCTTCGACTGTGATAGACAAGACCTTAGGTATTACCACGCTCACACACAATTCAAAGAAGCAGAAAAGTCAAATTATCTTTTAAATTTATTTGATTTACTAAAGTAAAGGAAAAATATTTCCAAGATACAAATATGAAATATGTGAGTTATATAACGCGTTAGTAAAAGGAGTATATTATACGAAAACTGGATTCCTTTCATTCTAAGAAAGACAAGAACAAAAAAGGATTTATCTATTTCTAGCTGCACCTGACATGTTTCTATACTGAACAAGAGTCAAGAGAAGAATCTTTCACTTGAAGGTGAAACTGCTAGAAATCGCCAGAAACCTGTGAGCTAGAAGACGGTAATGGCTTCTGCGTGTAAACCGCAGCTATAAGCTTCTCTTTCGTCAATGTATCCGACCCGTTACTAGACTTGAATCACAAAAGTGTGAAACACTGTCTCTTCAGCTAATGATAGCTTAGACTCCATTAAGCTAACCTCTGAGTTTCTCATAGCTTGTATGATTCCTGATGCTGGATGTGAATCCAAGGGCGAGGTTACTCTTACAACAACCTCTTCGTTGTTCACAGTTTGAATGTCAACTTCTGGACTTTCTTCCGGTAAGCTGCTGCTCTCTGTTCTGACTCTCTCGGCTTCCATGGTCTTTACTTTCTCTTGAAGCTCTTTGATGTAAGAGATGGCGTCTCCAAGAAGAGAGGCTTTGTCCATTTTAGAAATGTTTGGAACCACCGAGCGTAAAGCGTAGAATCTCTGGTTGAGCTTCTCGCGTCTCTGTCTCTCAGCTTCCACGTGGTTCAGTGGCTCTTCTCTTCCATTCGCAGGCTTCCTCCCTCGCTTCCTCGGTCTCTTCTCGTCGACAACAGAAACTGCTCCTGCTCCTCCTGCTACCAACAAGCTTGCTGGTTTCTTCTCGGTACAAGACTCCGACTTTTCCAGCTGAGTGTTTGTAGATGGATTCGAAGAAGCTGCTACAGACTCCATCTGAATCTTGTAACTGTTATCGTCTACAACCACTTGAGCTTTCACATCTAGTCTCTGAGGTGTGTAGCCTTTGTTGTTATACCCTTCCCAAGACTGACGAGTCACGAACCTCTCATCCAAATGTCGGTGAGCTCCCTGTTCCAAGTTATTCAGCTCCTAATACATACTCTTGATTCTGGTATAAGAATGATGTATATGTACCGTTTAGGAATAATCTCCTGCAATTTCTTGGTAAATAAGTAAAGTAATTAGACCTGAAAACCAAACATTCCTCTTACTTTTTGTTTTGTTTTTGTAAGATACTTGATTGTTAATGCCTACAAACTATACTGTTTTTAGTAATAACACACGTTTCTTAAAAGCTTCTGATTTGTTAATTGAGAATGCAAATTCACAGACCGGTTTCTTGGAAGGGGTTTAAGGAACAAAGACAGTGGAATTTACATTTACATTTACTGGAGAATCGAAAACCGGTTCTTGATCAGAGTGGCTACGTGCTGCGCAACCCACACCGAGCCAGCCACCGTGCAGCAGAACCCGTGCGTGTGACCTTCCCTCTCGATAGATAAGGAAGTAGCAGGAGCCTGCTTTGAAATCTGGACAATGGAGATTCTTTGAGAGACTCTCCTTCTTCATGTGTCAGAAAATGCAATTTAAAGTAATTTGAGAAAGGGGAACTATTTTAACCTCTTCAAAGAGTTGCAATGGACCCCAATGATCATCAATGCCGAACAAAAATGCAAGCTTGCTCTGGTTTTCCCTCATGAAATCCCAATCTGGCTCTGCTGCGAGCTTATATGCAAAAGATGAAACAATTGCGTCACCTAATATGCTTTGGTTGAGTGGGGATCAATTATAATGCAAAAGCTTTATCATGTTTTATAGCTTGCAAGAAAACACTTGTCTGCTTCCATTTTATTTTTATTTTTTGCATACTTATGAATTCAAAACTAGAGTCTTTAAATTCCACAAGGCACATTGTCAAAGAAGGGTACCTCTCTAAACTCTGTCATTGCCATAAAGAGAACATTGCGCATTGTGTGATACTGCAAAGAAAGAGAAATAAGAGACATCAGAAGTTTAATCTTCAAGGACTTATACAACTATGCTCTAGAGTGATAGCAAGTGAAAATGAAAACGAGACAAGACAGTACCTGCCTCAAGTGAGTGCAAGTAGCTTGAACCGCAGTATCAGACCATGAGGCTCCAAGGGAGTTGGATACAAGCCGCCGTGCAGCCCACATAGGTAAAACTCTCAGTGATGCAATCAGAAAACTTGCTGTAGCCGACAGAAGAGAGGACCTGAGAGAGCAACATGATTTAGTGACATTCTACATACAGATGATTTGATTGGTTTTTTCGTATCGAGGATTCATAAGATATTGAGAAGGAAAGCTCACGCTGCAAGTTTCCCAATTAGTGATTGCTTTCTTGATTGTTGGTTCAAAGTCAAAAATGGATATAGGCCAATGCAATATACCGCCTACAGAGCAATCCAGATAATAGATAAAAATCACATAGCACAGAGATCAAACTTTGCGATAGAGGAAGTATACTTTTGGAGGAATCAGTCTATACCTTCTCCGAGCACTTCCTTAATATTTCAAGGGATATGTAAGACCCAATAGAATGCCCAACCTAGAAAGAGCAATTTGACATTTGGTTGTAAATTTTCATAAATCCATCCAATGAATGAATGTATGTCAATGGGAACATGTAATGTAGCTCATTGTATGCATGACATAATTGTTCTTCTTACCAGTATTATTGGAACTTTCACGCTCTCCAACTCCTGTCTGATAAAATCAATCTGTATGATACAACTAACAGATTGAGATCTTAATTTCATGGGATTTCAAATCCCAGGGCAATGTCAAATCTTTATTACCTTATGATCGATTTGTTCTTGCAACGAAAATAGTCTCCCAGATTCCCAGTCCTTAAAAGCGGAACACAAGAATGTTAATCATCGAAGCACGAATCAAGCCATCACACTTCAGGGCGCACAAAACTAAAGAGACATGAACAGGGTAAATGCAGAGAATCAATCTGAACCAAAGTAAATAGTACCTTGCTCGTGTGAGATATTTGCCCAATAGCTACGCAAAAAACAAAGCAAAAGCAAATCAGTCCACCATTAGAGAGGAGAAGAACCAATCAAACTCAATGGAATCAAAGAAACCAAACTCGAAACCTATACCCGTTATAGATGCATTTCCATCAAGAAACTCGTGTAGAGATTCCAAAAAGTCATTGTAAAATGACACAACACCTGAAAATTACAAGTCAATGTACATAAACATAATATAATTTTCATAACTAGTTTAAATGTTCATTGATCATAAGAACACAATGAAACCTGGATTTCCCGGAATAAACAATACATGCAATTTGGGATTCTCAGTTTGAATTTCCATCACCTCCGTCATCGAACTTGATCACAAATCCAACCCAGAAAAAAAAGTGTGATTTATAATCAAAATCCAATCGAACAAGATTCAGATAAATAGAAAAGATAGATTTAATACCCAGAAACTCTGCACAATCTGGAATTAACAGGTCTTTTAGCTTTGTTCATCGATTCCTTTTCACTCTCCATATCTGCGGCTACGCACCTTCTCCGAGAACTGGCGAGAAGAGAATCAATGAGCGATGGTACTGAGAGAATCACTTAAAGACGAAACTGAGAGACAGAGTAAATTAGAGAGAAAACGTGAGAAATCAGCACTTCGTAAGAGGAAAGCTGAAACAATCAAAGCTTAACATTAGACCATGTGAGGACCGAAGATAACAAAATGCACCTGAAACAACAGGAGTAGACAGTTTGGAGAATCGAACCACCGATCGGAGGAAGAAAGCAGCGTAGAGACGGAGTTACCGAAGATAGAAGAAGAAGACCAAATCGCATTTTTTTTTAGCTTTATGTTTACAAAACTGATGCGACACCGTTTTAATGAAACGCGACGTCGTTTTGAGTGTTTGAGGTCTTTGGGCTTATCTCCACCTCATACTTCCACTACAAAGAGAGGTCGTTGACACAGATAAGTTTTTCGTCGCCCTGAGTGAGTGAGAAGAGTCACAAAGTGTTATCAATGGCGTCTGTAGCTTCTTCAACCACCCTCATCTCCTCCCCTAGGGTTTTCCCAGCCAAGTCTTCGCTTCCATCTCCCTCCGTCTCTTTCCTTCGTACCCTCTCCTCTCCTTCCGCCTCCGCTTCTCTCCGCTCCGGGTTTGCTCGACGCTCTTCCCTCAGCTCAATCCGCTCCAATTCTCGCCGGAGCTTTGCTGTCAAGGCCCAGGCCGTAAGTTATTCGCAATGCCGATTCTTGTTGCTGGGTGTGATTGGAATTGGAATTCATTACCCTATTTTATAGACTTCACTCTCTTTCAGCTTTTTAGCTCTATGTTTTGAGCTCTTTTGGGAAAAAAATTGCGATCAATAGCTTCTGTGACCGTGTTTCTGCAGATCTCACTAAAATTCTAGAAATTTTTAATGCATTTTGTTCTACGATTGTTAGTTTCGTAACTTTTGCTCATAGGGTTGTTAGTTTCGTTCTTAGTGGTGATGAAATTATTTGGCTTTTGTGACATTTAGGATACACTCCATGACTGATATCGCTGTTCGATGCGTTCTATGTAGTTTTGGCAGCAAACGGGTTCTCTGACTTTTTTTTTTTAATTTGAGCTATCTTGCTCCTTTAGATCTGTTGCGTTTAACAGTTTTTAGTTCTTTCGTGTTTGTTCTATAGGATGATCTTCCACTGGTTGGGAACAAGGCGCCTGATTTTGAGGCGGAGGCTGTGTTCGATCAGGAATTCATCAAGGTATCTTGTCCAAAGAACCTTCCTTTCTCCATCTTTTGATTAGTTTCTTACAATCATATCTGCTGCTTCTACTTAAATCTGAGACATAAAGCTTAGGTTTTTTCAAGCTGAATGAGTAGTATACGTGTGTATGTGTCTTATTGTTCTAGAATCCAATCGGTCATTGTTGAATTTTATGGTTTCAGGTTAAGCTCTCTGATTACATTGGGAAGAAGTATGTGATTCTCTTCTTCTACCCATTGGACTTCACTTTCGTCTGCCCAACAGGTTAAGATTGTTTCGAGAAGAGTACATTCATCGAAATTTTAATATCCGAGGTTCACTATGTTCTAAACTCTTTTTTTTTTTTTTGGGTTCTTTTGTCTTGTAGAGATCACTGCCTTCAGTGACCGGCATGCAGAGTTTGAGAAGTTGAACACAGAAGTATTAGGTGTCTCTGTCGATAGTGTGGTAAGTATAACTATACAGTTACCATCATATTTTTTACTCGATTTCTTTATGGTGTTATTGCAAAATCTAGCACCGAGATTCAAACTGATATTCTTATATGTTTGCAATTGCTTGACTCATCCTTGCTGCTTGTGCTGGTTTTCATTGTAGTTCTCGCACCTTGCGTGGGTTCAAACAGACAGAAAATCTGGAGGGCTTGGTGATCTCAACTATCCCCTTATCTCAGATGTCACTAAATCCATCTCAAAGTCATTCGGAGTGCTCATCCACGATCAGGTAAATTGTTAGCTTCTCAGTCTTGACTTTCTAAAGCCTTTGGGAATCAATAAAGACCTGAGAATTTTTGTGTGATACCAAAAAACAGGGAATAGCATTGAGAGGGCTTTTCATAATCGACAAGGAAGGAGTGATCCAGCACTCGACCATCAACAATCTTGGTATTGGCCGAAGCGTTGATGAGACAATGAGAACCCTTCAGGTAATACATCTAACCCATTTCCTCAAAACCCATCTTTCCTCTTTCGGCCCGATTACGCTTTGCATGATGTACGTTCTCGATGTTGCAGGCCTTACAGTACATCCAGGAAAACCCCGACGAAGTGTGCCCTGCAGGGTGGAAACCAGGGGAGAAGTCAATGAAACCTGACCCTAAGGGCAGCAAAGAGTACTTCTCTGCTATTTAGAAGCTTATACTAAGATAGCAAAAGGTACAATCTTTGTTATATGTGAGCAGAGTTTTTCTCTTTAACGCTAAACAATCCTCTTTGTTTGAATCTCACAGTTTCCTCAAAATCCATAAAACTTCCTTTTCCGTTAATGGAAGTCTTATTATTATTTCTCATTTTCCGCTACTGTGCCACATTCATACATACATACAGTAGTTCTCTTGTGTCCTTGACTCCCACCTTATTATAATCCATTAATGAATGTTATTCAAGTTCTTTATAATCCATTCACCCTTTATAAACAGCATTTGTAACAAATAAATCATTTGCATATTTTCATATTCATGCTAAAAGTCAAAATCATTCATGATTATGAACTGCTCTCTTGTATCAAAACATACACATGAATATCATCTGCGTGAGAACAAGAACATTTCAGCCCAAATTCTATAATGTATAAAAAGTGAGAATAGCACTCGTTATGTAATCTTGGCAGCACAAAAGCCATTATACATTTAGAAATCAAATAATAATGATACAACATTAAAAAAGCAGCATGCTACCTGTAAAAAGTTCCTCATGTGTCCCCTGCACACAAGTTCCAACATCATTAATCATCATCATCATCAACCCACCTCCTTCGCAGCAACTGGTAACCGGTTAACTCTCTCGCTTAAACTACTCTACGAGCCGGTCACATTTTCTTTCTCAGTCGATCGCACTTTTCTCTTAAAGACTTAGACAATGCATGCCCTCACCCTCACCACTTCCGGCGCCGTACTCCTCGGCGTCTTGCTCCTCTTCCTCCTCATCTTCTTCGCCGAGCTCTGTTACATCTTTTGTCGTCCCACGCCGTCTCTGGCAAGTAAAGAGGTTTTACTCCAATTCTTCATGTGTTGCAAGAAGAAGAACCACCGCTCTCGTATTGAGCCAACCGGAATTGTTTCTGTACAGATGGAGGAAAGTATTGATGCGGCGGCGGTGGTGGAGAATGAGGAGGAGGATGTAGCGGCGGCGGACAAGTGGCGAGTGTCGAGGCTTTTGTTCACGATCGAAGAAGAGGATTTCGAAATTGAAGATGACGATGTGGTCTCTGCGGATAAAGACGGGGAACTCCGGGTTGATATTCCGGTGGAATATTCCGGCGAGCCAACCCCGTTCTTGACGCCGTGTGATTCTCCTCCGTACTTCACTCCTTCGCCATCTCCTGGTCGGGATATGGATGACGTCATCGATGTATATGACGTCGTGAGCAGCAGCAGGAGCTGCTGTTTCAATATCCAAAGCTCTCACATGTCTTAAATTTTGCTGAGTTCCAATGGTTTTAGGCGTGTAACAGTTTAGTAGTAAATGTTTACGTGTTTTGTCGGAATTGTTATTATTAGTTTTTTTTTTGTCATCTATTAAATATTAAACATACAGTATGGAATACAAAGTAGGTTTTAGGGATACGTAGTTTTGAGTCGGGGAGATCTTTTGATGACATTGTTAAGATCTCGAGCTGATAGACATGTTTTATTGGGGATGGTTCTGCTTTGGTTTGATGTAGAAACTCCTGTTCGGTTATGGTTTAACCGAAATGAACTTTATTTTGTCTGGAACTCGGTGTTCCAATTTCGTTTAGTTTTGAGTTGATTAAATTAAAAAAATGTTAGACGACGATATCTGTGTGTGTTGTAGTTTTGCGTTTGGATTGACTTTTCATACGATACAGCCAAAAAGCAAATGGTTATCGATTTGAAATCCTTAATCTCTCCCGCGTGTCATCAACTAGAGTACTTTAGCCATTGACCCCATTGTTATATACGGGAGCTAGTAATGCATTTGAATTGGCTTTTCATCAGAGAAAAAACGCAATTAATCTTTTTGTACTTATTAAAGTTAATTTGCCTGTACTAAAAAACGTAGAACACAAAACAAAATCCACACCACTCCTTATTTAGTCAATCATTCAAATCGGTTCAATTTGCATTTTCTCTAAATATCGTTATAATTTTTAAAAAACTATGAAAAATCTCTAAAACCTCATAGAAATCATAAATTTAAGAAATAAAATGTATCAAAGCTGGGCCTGAATTTTTTTTTTTTTAAAAAAAATTTATTCATTATTTTATTGTTTGTTATTTTGCTAACAGAATCGAAAAGGAAAATTTCTGTTGTCGAACAAAAAAGTAGAAGAAAAATTGTTATATGGATGGCCGCGAGTATGTCATCAATGCAAGACTTTAGAAGTTTCTGATAAATTTAGTTGGTTCCGTACAGAAGAATATGTACTCACTCCACTCTATCATTGTCTTACACCATGTGAAATACTATGTAGTGGCTCCTCCTTTCAAGCTCATGAATGAAATCAAAGATGTGATGCTACTGTATGTACGCAATGAAGAGAGGGTTCGAATATGCCTTTTGAGTGTTAATGAAAGAGATCATGCTACTCAAGGGGACACTGTTAGCATTAAAGTGAACTTCTAAATGCTCATTCTCTAAAGACTTTAGAAGTTTCTAATAAACTTCTAAAAACTTTTGCAGTCTGTCTATCTTCTTGAATCTTCATTGTGAGGAGGATACTACAACAGACAAAGTGAGTTTTGCTTTGAGTGAATATAAGACAATGCTAAACATTGGTGTGAGGTAATACACCAAGAACTTGATGAAAAGCTTGTTTTCTTCAACAAATTTATCAAAAAAAGGTAAACATTGCTGCACTTTATAATATTATGATTGAGACAATAAAACTATTTTGTGTTACTTTTGCACTGATAAAAGCCCTTATCTAGCTTCTTTATTGTTTCACTAGTAATACATTGATTTAGAAACTTGTCCACCATGCAAGAACCAAACATTATTAGGCACCTTTTTGAGACAATCATGTCGCTGTTCTCAAAATTGTCGACCATTTATTTGAGAAGCTCATAATCGGAAATTTCAAAGATAGTCTGTATAATCATAGCTTCAGAATGTGCTTCTATCAAACTACTTACCAAGAAGAAAACATG